CAGGAACGGCCCCTCGGCCGTCTCCCTGTAGACACATGTTAGCAGCCTTCTCTTAACCTCTTTGCTGTTGCAATTCGCGTCATCTTGGATCCCGCCGCTTGGCGTCACAACTTCGTTGTGCTGCCTGCAAGCGTGCGTTCGACTTGACGGCGTATGCTAGCAGTAGCATCGTGGAGAGGGCACAAGAAACTGTGATACCCATCTCCCCCCTCTCAGGTTACGGCAGTGCCGCGTCTCTTGCTGCGGCCCTCGGAGAATTTGTACCTGATTCTCCCATGTCTCCGCCGCCCCCCCCTCACAGGCCACGACCCTCGCGACAACGGCTGGATTCGCCCCCCGCGGAGCCTGATACATCCAACCCGCCGGTGGCGACACCCGCAGTTGTCACGTCTGCCGTCGGAGCCGACCCTGGCTTCACTACGCCTACTGTCTCACAACCCACCTTCGCTGACACCAGCGTCTGTCGTAACCGCCGCTGGGCCAATATTCTGTCGCTGTCTCAGAGCATGTGCGGGCCATAGAGAATCGCACCGGCCGGACATCTCAGCGACAGGTCCCAGAGAGGTCTCACATTTGTTCACCTTTTCGAGACGCCAGCCGCAGCCCCTCACAGCGGCGCTCCCGGCATGGCTCTCAGCTGCGCAACCTTGTTGCGCAATTCTCTCCCACCGCCAGCGAACTGGCGGAGCTTCGAGACCAGGTTGAAACATACATGACCCAACAACTATCGGGTCTGGCCGCTCAGACGGCCAATGCGACAGGAGCTTCAGCAAGCTGTTGCCTTGGTCGATGCTCGGGTCGCTGAGGATCGATCGATTATTTCTGAGGTCCATTTTCAGGTTCCAGCACGATCCAGACGCCTCACGACGACCTCCTACGGATGGAGGCACAACTCGTGACCGTCAGGGATACTGGGACTGCTGTTGTCAGGACACTACACGATGAGCGTCTGACGGTACGACAGACCCCACCTATGGAGGTACATGGACCGACGGACTTCCATCTACGTGGTGACTTGGATACGCTTCGCAACCAGGTCCAACAGCACGCTGCTACGATGCACTCCACCCACGCCGCCCTCACGTCTGAGTTGGCTGGTAAGCTGCGTGGTGCCGAGACGGCCCTCGCTCACCGCCTTGAAGCTTTCGAAGGACGTGTGCCCACGCTTGAGAACCGAGTCTCCCAGGTCGAGGAGCAGATCCCATAGCTACGGACTGCGTTGGCTGAGTTGCATGTTGTACGGGCCCAGACTGATCAGCTGGGCACCCCGACTTCGGTTTACGATTTCGCTTCCCTCGACGCCCGCCTGGCCGAGGTGCAGCAGGCGGCGGGCCACATGCAGTTACGATTCACCCGGATCTCCCAGGAAAGAGACGCTGAAAAAACACGAGCCGACTCACTGCTCGCCCGTTTGGAACAAGAGCGCGAGGCGCACAACCAACGACCCCAAGACTTTCAGCACAGACTGGACAGGTACTCCCGGCATACCCACGATACCAATGTTGAGATACGTGGTTTCCAACGGAGTGTCCAACAAATGCAGCACAGCGTTACGACCAACGAAGCTACACTGACCTCACACAGAAAGCAGCACCGAGCTCCACCACCACCCTTCAGACCATCGCCACACTCCTACGCCTGTCGATGGAGACATCCGCGCAGCCCGTACACGACGTATCTCACCTGGACTCGCTTCAGCCGCGGCTTCCGCTCAGAAGCGTCACGTTTCTCCTGTGCGGGATCATTCTCCACCGCAGCCGGTTCCTTCGCAGACGTTGTCACGCGTCTCTGCCGCCAACGCTACTCCTGTTAAGTAGTCCGAAACCGTACGCATACCCCAACTACCACGCACTACACAACTACAGGAGTGGCAGCAGACGGTTCGCAACAACTTTGGCAGTGCATCTGGGCGCCCAGCCAAGGCTTACGCATCCCTTTGTTTTGCAGAACAACCAACAAAGACCTGCGACGACCTCCAGGACAGTGGCGATTTCGAGAGCATCGAGTGCAAACTCGCAGCTGGTCTCACTGCTGTCCTGAATTGTGAGCTCCGATACTGCATCAAGAACTTTACGGCTCAGA